CCCCGGGTTTTTTTTTGCATACTAGTACTTACATTTCCTTGATAATGTGGCAAATCACGAAAACGCTTGGAAATTCACTTTTTTTCCCATAGTGTTTTTTTTGCATATTGTAATAACACATGCTTACTACGATCTTATTGCACACATTGCGTACATACATCCCGGTATGTCAAAGTCCAGGGATGAAACTTTGAGGTGCCAACATATACATTGGTTTAAATGAAATTAACCCACACGTAGGGTAGCGAAATTTTCTGTGCGATAACAGAGCCATCGTGTAATTTTAAGATCTACCTTTAATAACTTGCGCCTTGACCTATATAGCAGTGTTGAGTGTGCAGAACTATCGATGCCTTGTGCCTAACTTGCCTTGTTTAAACTAGTTATAATGGTAGAATTACCCACAAACTGTCAGGTAACGCAACCACAGGGGGAGTTGGATGATAGCTCTAGACCTTTCGTGTTGCAGTCAACACCAGGAGCTTGCAGTGTTGCAGAAATGAGTAAGAAATTCAGACAGATTCGTTCAGGGGAACGTTTTTGTAAAAACGAATTTAATTGTACCCCTTACTCTGCAACATTGCAAGCTCCGGATGAGGTGTCGATTGTAACACGAAAGGCCTAGAGTTATCATTCAACTCCCTCGGTGTTTTTTGCATCTTGTATCGCTTGTTCGCGATTATTTCGTGTTAGGTAAAGGGACGCATGCAACTAATGTCACAACTTATGTGTCCATTTATCTTTGTTTAAACTAGCGTTTAACTTGTGATAGAAGCGAAGTTGGTATATAGTATCCTTTATGTAATATGATTCGCGGTCAAATAATGGACAATTTAGAACAATGTTGAAACCTGTTTTAAACTAGGTAAAAAAAATGAAAATTGGTTTTGGCTTAACTCGTTCAGAAATAGACGGGTTTTGTGTACAGTGGCGCGCGCACGTGATTGTTTTGTAATTGTGGATGTTTTGTGTGCTGAAACGTACATGTGCGCCACAATGTGTGTTTTTTGTATACATGTATGTACTTTAGAGAGGGGGGGGGTATTTATGCAGTTTTCTGTGTTCTGACTATTGTTTTCTACTGGTGTATTGTTCTTTTCCACAACTTTTGATAAAGACCCACCTTCCCTTCATGCTTATTAAAAGACCCCTCCCACTCGTTCACTCACTCATTCATTCCCACTCGCCCCCCTCCCTCTTTCACTCCCACTCGCCCCCTCATTCACTCCCACTCACCCTCGCCCCGCCTCTCATTCACTCCCACTCACCCTCGCCTCCACCCTGACGCCCACTCATACACGCCCACTCAGGCAGCTTCCCCTTTCACTGAAGCAACGCCGCCCGCACCCGCTCCCATTCGTGCCCCCATCCCCCTCATGTTGCCGCCCACCCGGCCCTCACCCCCACCGCCCGCACCTCCATCCTCCCCTTGTCAACCCCCTCCTCCCCTCAATGTGGCCGCCTGCACACCCCTCCGAGGTGCCGCTCCATCCTCCCACCACCACTATGGGTTTCTCCCTCCTCTCCCACCACTATGGGTTTCTCCCTCCCCTCCACTGTGGGCTGCTCCCTCATCTCTCACCACTATAATAATAATAATAATAATAATATTTTTATTTGCTACAAGTACTTGTACAAGGTATACAGGTCTAGCTGACATCAATGACAAACTCTATATAGAAATCCCCTTGTTATGGAGATCATTTCGGGCAAATTAGGTGTTTTGTCCCAGGATGCGACCCACACCAGTCCACTACACCCAGGTACCCATTTTACTGATGGGTGAACATAGACAACCAGTGTAAGGAAACGTCCGATGTTTCCATCTCTTCGCCGGGAATCGAACCCGGACCCCTCACCGTGTGAAGCGAGAGCTTTTGCCACCAGGCCATGGGGCACCGTGCTCCCTCCTCTCCATCACTATGGGCTGCTTCCTCCTCCCCACCACTATGGGCTGCTGCCTCCACCATGGGACGCTCCCTCCTCTCCCACTACGATGGGCTGTTCCCTCCCCGCCACTATGGGTTGCTCCCTCCACGGGACACTCCTCCCCCACCACTATGGGCTGCTCCCTCTTACCCCACCACTGTGGGCCGATCCCTCCCACCCCCACAACCATGGGCCGCTCCCTCCCACCCCCACAACCATGGGCCGCTCCCTCCACCTTGGGACGCACGCTCGGGCTACTCCCTACTCAACCACCATGGGCTACTCCGCCGCCACCACCATGGGCTACTCCCTCCTCCACAACCATGGGCTGCTCCATCCACTACCACCACCATGGACTGCTCCCTCCTCCACCACCGTGGGCTACTCCACCATGGGCTGCTCCGTCCTCCACCGCTATGGGCTACTCCCTCCACCACCATGCCCTGCTTCCACCACCATGGTCTGCTTCCTCCACCACCACCATGAGATGCTGCCCCCTCCCCTCCCCCTCAACCGGCCCCCGACAACACATCCACCACATCCTCTACCACACTACCTGTGGTCGGCCCCTTCACCCCCACATTTCCCCCTTCCTAACTCCACAACCTGCACCTCCCCATTTCTCTTACTCTTCTCTCTCCTTTTATCCCCACACTCCAACTATACTCTCCCCCTCCACTTTCCACTACTCCTCCACTCCTCTCCCCCCATCCCTGCAAATTTATCAGTTCTGCTTTTAGGGTGGCATAATTTAATATTAAAATTATGCTTCAACAACAGCAACAGCAACAATAATAATAATAATAATAATAATAATAATAATAATAATAATAATAATAATATAATAATAAATAATAATAATAATAATAATAATAATAATAATAATAATAATAATAATAAGATGTATCTCTCAAACCTCATGTACTGTATATGCCATCTTTGTACCAGCAATGTATCCTTTAAGTCTTGTGTACCATATTATGAATAAAATATACCTATTGATAAAAAATAAAGTTGGGGTGGTGGGGGAATTGAAATATTCAAATGGCTTCAGGAAGAACTATAAATATTTTTCCTCAAAGCCTTTTTATCCACTTCTACAAGGCTGTGGGTCCCACAGTTTGCACTAAAGGTAAACCCCATCATATAAATTAAAAAAACTAATAATTATTATTAATGATTTACTTTGAAGTAAGTCACTTTGACTTTTTTGGGGGGGTTTCCCAGGCAATTTAGATATGTTTCTATGTAAGACTATTATAATCAGCCAAAACGTGTGTAAAACTGTACCTAAATAAACTTAGTTACTGATTTTGTTGTATCCACTCTTCAGTGTTCCTTGTGTGAAGGCAGGTGATGGCGAGATGCTCCTTAGTGTACACTGGCCCACAATAGTTTATTGCTTCAACAAATACAAATCAGTTTTTTTGTTCAAGATTCTTGTGTAATTGATGCAGGTCAGCATTAATTATGTATATTATGAAAACCTTCAGGTGTCATACAGTGCCTGGGAATGGGAGGTACATAGATGTGATCAGAAGAAGGGGAGGGTAGCCCCAATTCCTTGGATCAAGAGCCTTCAGTATCATGGCATGTCCCCCTTAAGGGGAGATCAATTTTAATTGTTTTATTGTATGTATTTCATGAATGGTAAAACCGTCTCTCATTCAGCACAGGAGTAATTGATTCTCATTAGATAATTCAACAAAATTTATAAGATAATCTTTAGTGAAGTATTTAATGTGTGACAGTTTTATTTGTGGCAAGTGTAGAGATTGTATCATAAATGAACAAGAATTTTAGGGATGCTTAAGTATTATGATCATAAACGTGTTCTTTATTTTACAGGAAGTGCGTCATGAGCGAAGAGTTTTTGCTTAAGTGGAACAACCACCAGACGAATTTTGTAGATGTGTTCAACGAACTCCTCAGTGATGAATCGTTTGTGGACGTGACACTGGTGTGCGGGGGAGAGGCAGTGCCAGGCCATAAGATGGTGCTGGCGGCCTGCTCCCCCTTGTTGCATCGCATCCTCCGGGACAACCCATGCAAACACCCGCTGGTCATCCTCGGCGATGTGCCTGCTAGAGACATGAGGGCAATGATGAAATTTATCTATCAGGGTGAGGTCAGTGTGTCTCAGAGTGAACTAGCTAGTTTTCTAAAAACTGCAGACAACCTTCAGATAAAAGGATTGGCAGAGGACAAGGAGAAAGAAAAAGAAGAGAAAAAAAGAAAAGACAAAGACAGTGATCGATTAGATGGTCGGCAAAGCAACAAGAGACAGCGGATGTTGGAATCCAGAACTACAGACAACTCCTCCCCTTTACCCATACGCTCACATAAGTTATTCAATGATTCTCATTCTTCTAGTCACAGAAGCCGGAGCAGAGCCTCCATGGACGATCAGCCGCTCAAAAGTGGTGGGAGAGGAGAAGGCTTGCATGCTCCGGCCTCTAAACATAACTCGTCAAAGAATTCCAGCTCAAAAATCTCTCATGACATTCCTTCTAAAGTCTCGAAGCCATCTGAGGAGAATGACATTCGGCATGTTGGTTCTAATAATGGCGTAGGTGATAATGTTTCACCTAAAGAGGAAAGTGTAGATGAACTAGTGAGTAAACAGTTTCTCTTTACCATTACCCATAATTTTTCTTCAATGCACTGGTCGTATCCCACCAATGCAAGGTGACCTAAAAAGAAAAACGAAAGTTTCTCTTTTTAAATTTAGTACATATTGTATACAAGAGAAGGGATTACTAGTCCCTTGCTCCTGACGTTTTAGTCGCCTCTTGCAACACACGTGGCTTATGGAGGAAGAATTCTTTTCCACTTCCCCATGGAGAATTACCTATAATGCCTTTATTAATGTACTGGTGTTTAAAAGAAATTTGCAGTGATATCCAAGGGTGTTAGTTGAGAAGTGTAATTTGCAATGGCTGTGTACCCCTCAAAGGAGGTTCCTTGATGCTGATGAGGGGCTCTTGATCCAGTGAATGGGATTTTTCCTCTGCTTGGATCAGACATGATTGCTTACTATTTCCCAAGTGCTGCATAACCCCTCTGGGTTTAGCTTTTCCCCTATATATAATAATAATGCATTGGCTATAATAGGATGTCTTTTAATATGCTTTTAATAAGTGTTAGTAATTGCTGGGTTTTTTAATAATTTATGGTCCAAAAAGTTAGTTATACAATGATAAAAATGTTACACAATGATAGATAAGTTATCCAATGATATAAATATAAGTTATATAATGATAGAGGTATATGGATGTTGTGAATGAGCAGTTATAAGTAGTATATTATTACTGTATTAATTATTTTATTTGCTGGAGTCTTACATTCACTGTGTTTTTCTGTCTGTTTTAAATATTTTGATTTTTGTATCCATAAATACATATTTTTATTATTGGCTTTGTGATAGGTGTGATATGGGTTGCCCCATGGCCATCTCCCACTGAGGAGTACTCACCTAATTGTGGTTGCAGGGGTCGAGACTCAGCTCCTGGAGTGTGTGTGTGTGGGTGTGTATACGTGCATGGGTAGGTGGGTGGGGTACTCACCTAGTTGTGGTTGCAGGGGTTGAGTCACAGCTCCTGAGGTGTTGGTGTGTGTGTATGCGTGGGTGGGTGTGTGGATAGGTATGCACATGCTTGCATACACATGCATACATGGTACGGTAGTATTTTTATGTACTGTACTGTACTGTATTTTATATGTACATTGATCCCTACAAATTCATGACTTCCTTATTTCTGGGTTTAAATCATCAAACATTTTTAGTGATTATTAACCAGAGACTGGATTCCGTTATCTTACATTTTGTTGCTCAGTGACTCTCATGCCCAGGTCTCTCTATTCTGCTCATTATTTCTTATGAATGCCAATATTAACCAGATTAGAGTGATATGTTAAAGAAATATGGTCTCTGAAACACAAAACAAACCTAAATCTGAAAAGACTGTATGCAGGCATAATTGTATTTGAAGTTTCTAGTTTCACAGGACCTTGAGTAATGTAAACTTCCCCTCATCCTTCCCTGTGAATCTGTAGATGTGACTGTATTATTTTTATTTGCATGATGCCTAAAGTAGTATAGTGATGACGACCACAATATTTTGTGTCAAAACTTACATATTCAAGCTTTTGAGTACAGGAAACAGTGCAGTGCTGTTCAGTATAACAAACTGAATAAATATTTGTTGTCATTGCTTCATTGATAGTTAAAAGTTAGTCTAATTTTTTATTAAAAAAATCCTAGGCATATAAGGACTATTGGGTTATTTTTAGATATAAAATTTCATTCTGGTCTGAGTTATATTTTTCAAAATGGTCTATATTCATAACCTATATAAATTTTGGCATAAAATTAACACACAACTCTTGCATTAGAGAATAAAATATACAGTACCTTTTCATGTCCTTTGTCTCCAGAGGAAGATCAACTTCAGAGAATATTCAGATGTATAGTTTAGGAAACATTATTATGTTTGTAGCAGTGTTTGACAAACTAAATGACACCACAATCTCAGTCAAAGTATTTTCTAGAAATTAGTGGTAAGTAACCCCACGAAGAAGCATTTCTTTGGTTACTGTGGACTTTATTATCATACAAAATATGGCTTAGTTTTCCTTTAAATATTTGTAGAGGTCTTCCCTCTGGTGTCAAATCACTCGCCATTATTTTGGAATTTCTGTAAGAACTAAAACCATCGGTTGACCTAGGAAGGAATGTAGAAATATTATTAACGTGTTATCTATTTTCAGACAGTTAAAACAGAGCCATTAGACTACCCTGGAGAGATGGTGTGGACAGAAGGTCATGGCACCATCAACAGTGATACCCTGGATGATGCTCAAGGACTGCTCCCTCTCGATGCATTACCTGGAGCATTAGAGGGAGTGGCAGCTGCCATTGTTGCCTCGCCCAACCTACCCATCATTGAGTTTGGTGAGTAGGAAAATTGTTGCTAATGGTTTATCATAATTTCTTCCTTCAAGTCTGTGTTGTTCGTGAATTGTTCCAGCCATGGCATTGTAATTTCTTCTTCAGTATAAATTCCAATATTTACAGTACTTATTTATATAAAGTGTGTTGCATGGCTGGCAGGGACTCATGAATAAGGTAGAGCATTCCATAGTCACTGGATATTTCAACTATGTCATGTATTTATGGTGAGCTAATAAACACTGGGCATCATGAACATAGCTCAACTCTTATTACAATTTTTTTTTCATCAAACCAACCATATCCCACCAAGGCAGGATAACCTAAAAAGAAAAATGAAAGTTTTTCTTTTTAAATATAGTAATGTATACAGGAGAAGGGATTACTAGCCCCTTATTACAGATATTGTAGATAATTACACACTTTTCTAAGGATATATACACAATTATTTTCTTTCAATTGATATTGGGAATTTTGCATTATTTTCCAAGTCCTGAAAATTCACAGGTGAAGACAGTCGAAATGATGATGGAAGTCGTGGAGACATGTCAACGGCATCAGATGACATAAACGCCAACACTACAGGGGTGAGTACCTCTTGGCCTCTGTTACACTAGTTAAGTCTTAAGGATTAAGTTATTGCTTTCACTTATCTTCTGATCTCTGGAAAACTATGTTCACACAGCTAAAGATTATAGTTGCTGGTGTTCATTTGACATTAAAAAAAAAAACACAGGCCATCTTTCACCAGGGTACAGTAAACTAAAAAAAATACATTGTACATTATATAATACACATACTGTACCTGCATGTGTGAAGAAGTAGATGATTTAGCATTAACTTAATCCTTGATTTACTATCATTTTGTTGTACACAAATTGTGTGGTAGTGCTGAATGATGGCTTGAGAAACATTACTGTACATGCCTAAGCTCATCTTTACTACAATAAATATAACCTAGATATTTCAATATTTTTATAAATGGAAAACAGTTAAAACCAAAAACTACTGTATTAGAAATTATCATTTCTATACTACATTCTGTTTATATTTCAATGAAAGACTTTGACTAATAAGTATCTTTTTAATTCATGTTAAACAACTAAGCAGGCTTAACCTATCATTTACCCAGAAAAATTAACCAATCAGTATTCAAGATCATAAGTTTACTAGTTTAATATACAGCCTCTCCTCACTTAATGACAGAGTCCTGTTCCTAATAACGTGTCGATAAACGAATTTGTTGCTAAACGAGGAGTATACTATAATGATAGTGGGTTTATATCAGCGATCTTTGATATTGCTTTAATGTCACCCTTGCACCATTTATAACATTTTTAGTATATTTTTAAATGTTTAGACAGTAGTGTACTGTATATTGTAGTAAACAGAATAGAGGAAATCAGCTCAAATATACATTATTTAGTATGCATACTGGTCAGAGGGCCTGTCATAAGTCTGAGTCGTCGGTAAACGAGTACGTTGCTAAGTGAGGGGAGGCTGTATTTATTTATTTTTTTCTGCATGAAATTTTATTTCTCAATGCCTCCCATAATTTTCACACTCCGAACTGAGATAGTTCACTTCTTCTCAGCTAGGTTACCTTGCCATTAAAACATAAATATATATTAAAATAGAATTTTTTTTTTAACACGCTGGCTGTTTCCCACCAAGGCAGGGTAACCCAAAAAGAAAGAAAAACCCAAACAGAAAGAAAAAACTTTCATCATCATTCAACACTTTCACCATCACTCATACATAATCACTGTTTTTGCAGAGGTGCTCAGGTATGACAGCTTAGAGTCCCTCCAAGCTGCTATTATCCCAAACCCCTCCTTTAAAGTGCAATCACTGTACTTCCCATTTCCAGGACTTGAGTCTGGCTAACCAGTTTCCCTGAATCCCTTCTCAAAATATTACCCTGCTCACACTCCAACAGCTCGTCAGGTCCCAAAAACTATTCATCTCCATTCATTCCTGTCTAACACTCTCATGCATGCTTGCTGGAAGTCCAAGCCCCTCTCCCACAAAACCTCCTCTACTCCCTCCCTCCAACCTTTTTGAGGACGACCCCTACCCCGCCTTCCTTCCCCTACAGATTTATACACTCTCTAGGTCATTCTACTTTGTTCCATTCTCTCTAAATGACCAATCCATCTCAACAACCCCTCTTCAGCCCTCCGACTAATACTTTTAGTAACTCCATACCTCCTAATTTCCACACTCCGAATTCTCTGCATAATATTTACACCACACATTACCCTTAGACAGGCCATTTCCACTGCCTCTAGCCACCTCCTCGCTGCACCATTTACAACCCAAGCTTCACGCCCTGTCTTGGTGGGAGATGGCTGTCATGTTGAAAAAATATATTAATATTATATAACATTAAGAGGAACAAAAGAGGAAGGTGGCAACAACAAGTAAGAGGGAGGTGAAAGTGTATAAACTAAGGGAGGAGGAAGTTCGGGCGAGATATAAGCGACTATTGGCAGAAAGGTGGGCTAGTGCAAAGATGAGTAGTGGGGGGGTTGAAGAGGGTTGGAATAGTTTTAAAAATGCAGTATTAGAATGTGGGGCAGAAGTTTGTGGTCATAGGAGGGTGGGGGCAGGAGGAAAGAGGAGTGATTGGTAGAATGAAGAAGTAAAGGGTGTGATAAAAGAGAAAAAGGTAGCTTACGAGAGGTTTTTACAAAGTAGAAGTGTTATAAGAAGAGCAGAGTATATGGAGAGTAAAAGAAAGGTGAAGAGAGTGGTGAGAGAGTGCAAAAGGAGAGCAGATGAAAGAGTGGGAGAGGCACTGTCAAGAAATTTTAATGAAAATAAGAAAAAATTTTGGAGTGAGTTAAACAAGTTAAGAAAGCCTAGGGAAAGTATGGATTTGTCAGTTAAAAACAGAGTAGGGGAGTTAGTAGATGGGGAGAGGGAGGTATTAGGTAGATGGCAAGAATATTTTGAGGGACTTTTAAATGTTGAGGAAGAAAGGGAGGCGGTAATTTCATGCACTGGCCAGGGAGGTATACCATCTTTTAGGAGTGAAGAAGAGCAGAATGTAAGTGTGGTGGAGGTACGTGAGGCATTACATAGAATGAAAGGGGGTAAAGCAGCTGGAACTGATGGGATCATGACAGAAATGTTAAAAGCTGGGGGGGATATAGTGTTGGAGTGGTTGGTACTTTTGTTTAAGAAATGTATGAAAGAGGGGAAGGTACCTAGGGATTGGCGGAGATCATGTATAGTCCCTTTATATAAAGGGAAAGGGGACAAAAGAGATTGTAAAAATTATAGAGGAATAAGTTTACTGAGTATACCAGGAAAAGTATACGGTAGGGTTATAATTGAAAGAATTAGAGGTAAGACAGAATGTAGAATTGCGGATGAGCAAGGAGGCTTCAGAGTGGGTAGGGGATGTGTAGATCAAGTGTTTACATTGAAGCATATATGTGAACAGTATTTAGATAAAGGTAGGGAAGTTTTTATTGCATTTATGGATTTAGAAAAGGCATATGATAGAGTGGATAGAGGAGCAATGTGGCAGATGTTGCAAGTATATGGAATAGGTGGTAAGTTACTAAATGCTGTAAAGAGCTTTTATGAGGATAGTGAGGCTCAGGTCAGGGTATGTAGAAGAGAGGGAGAATACTTCCCGGTAAAAGTAGGTCTTAGACAGGGATGTGTAATGTCACCATGGTTGTTTAATATATTTATAGATGGGGTTGTAAAAGAAGTAAATGCTAGGGTGTTCGGGAGAGGGGTGGGATTAAATTATGGGGAATCAAATTCAAAATGGGAATTGACACAGTTACTTTTTGCTGATGATACTGTGCTTATGGGAGATTCTAAAGAAAAATTGCAAAGGTTAGTGGATGAGTTTGAGAATGTGTGTAAAGGTAGAAAGTTGAAAGTGAACATAGAAAAGAGTAAGGTGATGAGGGTATCAAATGATTTAGATAAAGGAAAATTGGATATCAAATTGGGGAGGAGGAGTATGGAAGAAGTGAATGTTTTCAGATACTTGGGAGTTGAAGTGTCGGTGGATGGATTTATGAAGGATGAGGTTAATCATAGAATTGATGAGGGAAAAAAAGTGAGTGGTGCGTTGAGGTATATGTGGAGTCAAAAAACGTTATCTATGGAGGCAAAGAAGGGAATGTATGAAAGTATAGTAGTACCAACACTCTTATATGGATGTGAAGCTTGGGTGGTAAATGCAGCAGCGAGGAGACGGTTGGAGGCAGTGGAGATGTCCTATCTAAGGGCTATGTGTGGTGTAAATATTATGCAGAAAATTCGGAGTGTGGAAATTAGGAGAAGGTGTGGAGTTAATAAAAGCATTAGTCAGAGGGCAGAAGAGCGGTTGTTGAGGTGGTTTGGTCATTTAGAGAGAATGGATCAAAGTAGAATGACATGGAAAGCATATAAATCTATAGGGGAAGGAAAGAGGGGTAGGGGTCGTCCTCGAAAGGGTTGGAAAGAGGGGTAAAGGAGGTTTGTGGGCGAGGGCTTGGACTTCCAGCAAGCGTGCATGAGCGTGTTAGATAGGAGTGAATGGAGACGAATGATACTTGGGACCTGACGATCTGTTGGAGTGTGAGCAGGGTAATATTTAGTGAAGGGATTCAGGGAAACCGGTTATTTTCATATAGTCGGACTTGAGTCCTGGAAATGGGAAGTACAATGCCTGCACTTTAAAGGAGGGGTTTGGGATATTGGCAGTTTGGAGGGATATGTTGTGTATCTTTATACGTATATGCTTCTAAGCTGTTGTATTCTGAGCACCTCTGCAAAAGCAGTGATAATGTGTGAGTGTGGTGAAAGTGTTGAATGATGATGAAAGTATTTTCTTTTTGGGGATTTTCTTTCTTTTTTTGGGTCACCCTGCCTCGTTGGGAGACGACCGACTTGTTGAAAAAAAAAAAAAAATTAAGACTTTAGTATCAAACTCTGTAAGTCTAGTAAAAGCTTTATGAATTAATGTTTTGTTGTAAACCTATGATAAACACATGTATAATCAGTGTAAGATATGTATATGGTATAAGGGAATTTGAATTTGAATGGTACAGTTTTTGTAGGATATGTATGTATGCACAATTAAAGATTAGTATGCATAGCTTGATTGGTATGCACACATTTAAGACAGGTACACATAAGTTTAAGACAGGTATGCATAATTGTAAGACAGCTATACATAAGTTTAAGACAGGTATACATAATTTTAAGACATCTATACATAAGTTTAAGACAGGTACACAGACATTTAAGACTGGTACACACATGGTTTGGATAGATATGAACACACAGTGAAGAGGTGCCCAAGTCTAGGACTGGTACACAGTTTAAGGTAGGTGCACACAGTTTAAGATATGGGAAAAGGTACACACAGGTTCAAGATAGGTACACAGTGTATGCAGAATAAATATACAGAGTTAATTAATGACCTGAGTTGAATGCTAAAAATTCTTTTAGATTTTTTATATAACTTTTATTACTGCTTTATATAGTAGTGCATATGTATACCATAATATATATATATATATATATATATATATATAATATATATATATACAGTGGACCCCCACTTAACGATCACCTCCCAATGCGACCATTATGTAAGTGTATTTATGTAAGTGCGTTTGTACGTGTATGTTTGGGGTCTGAAATGGACTAATCTACTTCACAATATTCCTTATGGGAACAAATTCGGTCAGTACTGGCACCTGAACATACTTCTGGAATGAAAAAATATCGTTAACCGGGGGTCCACTGTATATATATATATATATATATATATATATATATCTATATATATTTTTTTTTTTTTTTAAATATAAATTAAGCTCAGAGTGGGATTTCTTTTTGACTAGTTCTGTGTCTGCTTCTTAATTATGTTTGTTGGTATATAATTATTGGACTGAATCCTTAGTTCACTGTAATTCAGGATTATTTGTGGATTGAGATGGATGGGGGGGTTATGAAACTGTCTGGCCTTCAGCAGATAGCTATGAAATGGACCATGGGGTCTCCTGCTGTCTCTCTTTGTCATGTATCTTTCTTTTTTTAGGTGTTTTTAATTACTGTTCCTTAAGGTGTAAGCATTCTGAGCTTTTCAATTGAATGTTTGGCATTAAGGGAACCATTGTGTCCTTTGCAGTTCTGCACTGGCATTTTTTTTTATATTGGTATATTCCACCTTTTCTAGCTTACATTATAGAGGTTATAATTCCATCCACTTTAGTGGGAGTACAAACAACAAAATTCCCATACTGCATAAAAGTGGCACTGTCAGACTACTGACAGTAAGTTAGTTTGAAGTTTGATGTGCCAGGTTGGCACTCTTCATTCCTTAATGCAAGTTTCCAGGGTCACATCATGAAGTCATTGTGTGAGGAAGCTGCATGGTAAATCTTGCTTTTGAAAGTCAAAAGTTCCAATAATAGTTAGGATTTATACTAAGGTGGACTGGGGAGGGTTTTGTAGGTAGCTACCACAACATAACAAAAATTAAGAATGCAGACAGACAACATACAAACTGAGATCTTTCTCTATTGTCATTTACTTAAGCAAAGTTGTGGTATCACCTACCATTCTCTCTACCAGGGTGACTGGGTGCAGGGTAGAACCTACCATTCTCTCGACCAGGGTGACTTGGTGCAGGGTAGACTAGCCCAGGGTTGTGTTGGAGACAATGGGGTGGTGCATCCATCCAGTCAGGGCCATCCAGCACTGCCTTTACCACCACCTCCACATCCTTCTACTCCAATTTCCCAGCACCAACAGCCGCAGCTGCCTCTACACTCGTCAAGCCAGCGAGGTGTTCTAGGATTCCCTGGTATTGCTGTGGTTCCGTCCTTCCATAGTGCTACCACCACCACCACTACCACCACATCACAGAGTAGAACCACTGGAGCTACCTCATCACCCCCAACAACGACAGCATCAAACTTCACCACCACTATTACAACGAGCAATAACAACAGCATGCATAAGTGTTATCAGTGCCCTTTCGTCACTTCAAATCCTTATACATACACTCGACACTTACGCATTCACTTAGGCACCAAGGAGTTCCGTTGCCGTGTGTGTGGCTTTGCCTCTTCACGCAAAGACTCCCTCATTCGCCACTTCCGCATGAAACACTTGACAGGAGAGATGGCAATGTATCATGATCTAGATTCCCGAGACATTGAAGAGTTGGCATTGATCAAAGGTATTCCTGAGGGCCTAAAGCTGTTGCCTGGTAAATTTTAGAGAATGGTATCAGGACTTGCTGCTGTGATCCAGGGTTTATTACATCTTCCAGATACCTGTTCATTTTTTGTTTTGAATTACAGTATACTTGTGCAAGTATCTGGTGGATACTTTGAATACTTCTTTCAGATATGCTTATGAAACACTGACTTAACCTAGTATTTATTTTCTTTGCTCGTTTTTCTCAGGTATTATGTAAAAAAAAATGAAATCAAAGAAATTACCACTAAAGAATGAAGTACTGGTGCTCTTTGCTGTGGATTCTGGCTAAACGCTAAAATAAGACCAGCAGCATTATTACAGTTTAGTGTGTTAATTAGATGTTTTAGTTCATCATATCTTAGCAGAGGAATGTAAGATATCCTGAGTAAAGTGGATTGATTTTATATTAAAAGCTCTTCAGTTATATTTTTACTAGAATTTTATTTTGCACTCAGAAAATCAAATCATTGAAGTATTTGGTCTATAGTATTTATTTCCTTTAAGTACATTTTGCAGTGTTATGTCCCATTAGGTAATATTTTTATAGCTCATGAAGACAAAATGGTCTTACTACTTTAGTCCTGTTAGTTCATGCATCAGTTCCTATTATTGTAGTCCATACATAGCAGATCAACACTCATTGTGCACCAGTGGAAAAAGAGACATAAATCTGTGACTTGATAAAGCCCACTGTGAAGGCAGAACTTCACCAGTAAAGGATCGATTTATAACCACACTTGTCTCTTTTTCCATCATGTCGGTAATGTATACCACTTCTGTCACTCGTACACCATTTGCTTTTCCCTGCTGATCATTTGGAATTTTTGGTCGCATTTCATCTGTCATTCACTCTTATGATAAATATTGTAATTTTAGAAGTCCATTCTGGAGTTGGTTGCTGAGTGGAATCTTGCTGTTGGTAGTAAAACCTTATTTATGATGGCATTATACAAATACAGTACAAGAATACAAAATTTATTTCCCCAAAAATACAAAATATTGCTGCAGTTTTGGGAATCACATTTCTATCTAGTACCTGTATAATTATTTTTTTAGACTTTGGTATGCAAAGCATTATGAGCAGACTAAAACTAGAACAGTACTTACAACTACTTAATACTAGTACAGGTATGGAGATAATGACGAATAAATGTAATAGTAATTTTAAGAAACGATTCTATATATACATGTACAGCTTCTGTGTAAGTGGTGAGGTATCTGTTGACTAAGCTTGTGGTAAAAGATAAGTTAAACATAAACATTTATGTTCATTACATATAAAATATATTAAATCACTTCAAATCAAATATTACAAGTTATGGAAATGGCTTGACAGTGTTTTTGAAGGTATTGGGAGATGACAAGGATTTTGAGCCTTCAGGTGGGTTGTTCCAAATTTTGGATCCTTTGATTGCATGAAGTATTTACTGAAGTTCAGTTGTACACATGGAATATCAGAGAGCTTAATTTGTTGTGTTGTGCTTGTATGTTCTGTTGCAGCTCTCCAAAAATTGTTTTAGCTCAGGGTTACTATATGTATTGAGTGTTCGGTATATGTAATATGTACAGTAGGATGTTTGGATACAGTACATAGGTTCCAATCTTTGACTAGGAGCGAGTGTTGTCTTGAGTCAGTTGTAGTGATTATTCGAATAGCCAATTTTTGTTGGGTTATGATTGGTTTTAAATGATTTTCTGTTGTGTGTGCATATACTATAGATGAAGTAAGGTAGATTAAAGAGTAGTATAGAATTAAGTAGTGTTGGTTGCAGTACATAGTAGTGTACCCTGGAATGCATGCCTAATGTTTAGCTATGTCTTAAAAGTGTTCATTGAATTTGTTTGCTGTCTAGTTGAATACCCAAAAAATTTCCCTGCATCTTGTCTTTGAATATGAATATTTAGCTTTACATTTAGTTGAATTACTAAATGTAAAAAAAAAAAAAAAACTTTCATTTCTTCTTTTTTTTGAGTCACCCTGCCTTGGTGGGAGAAGGCTGGTGTATTGAAAAAAAATTTTAGTTGAACATTTTTAGCTTTATTCCCGAACACTCTGTGCTAAGTCTTACCAGTATCGATTGTTAATTTATTTGTCACCATCCAAGCTGATAATATTTCTAATTTAACAATTATAATGTTGACTAAGGTTTTTTTTTTTCTGACACTCTAAACCCTAAAATAATATTTCATCAGAGCTCATAAATCTTACAATTTGATTATAGGTAAATGAGAAATATATTGTAGGAGTTGCTTTGCAGTGAGGAGTATTGCATCCACATATGAGGCTTCCTCATTCTCCTCTGCCTTCTAATCCTCCTCTGCTACCTCCTTCCTCATTTTTCCCTATTCCTAATATTATTCCTCTGGTTCTCCTTTTTTGCATCTATTTTCTCCACCTTCCTCTCAACTTCACCTTTTTTCCTCTTCCCACCTCTTTCTCCCACCACCTCCACCTTTATCTCCAAAGCACTCATCAGTGATTATTTTATTTTGTAGACAGTAAATCCAAAATATTTGCACAATACTTTAGCAATGCAGTTTGTTCTCCTGCACATGAAGTGATGTGGGTGTAGCTGTTATTTGTGAAATTTGATAAATACTTTTGCATCACATTGCTGGCAATATGCATATAGAAATATTGATGTAGGTTAAACAGCCATAGAAACTTTGATTATTTAAACATAACATTTACAGATTTTATTTTAATACTCTATTTGTTTAAATTTTTTTTTTTCCATGTTTTAATTATTGTAAATTTCACATTGTGTGTTTCAGAGCTGGAAACCTGCTCAAGACTAACCTGAAAATTAGAGAAGAAAATTTAGACAGTGTTTCAGTTCGTCTTAGGCAATTATTGAGTCACTCATATCTTGACAGTTGTCCAGGATGAATAACATCATCTAAAGTTTTTTTCCCAATTTTTGGGTTAGTTGAGAGTTCCGGCCATAATATTGTAACTCTTTTTCATGATGTACTTTTTTTAAGAAGATTTGAATATCCCTTTTTTTTTTGTTAGAGTTATTTAAGTTATTGAGATAATGAAGTTTCCTTCGTACCTGTTAAGTAGATAAGCAGTAAATTTTACAGTATGTATATAGATATATATTTTCTAGGTAAGGTAATGTAATGTATACCACTGCCTTGCAATTCTGATATTGTATAAGCCTTAGTAAAGAAATGTACAGTAGTTTGATAATGTGTGTATAATTGAAAAGTATTTTGGAATATTTTTGTATTGTCAGGAAGACAACTAAGGCTAAGAGAATATTTATATTATGATAAATAAAGAACCTACTACTGTTTGTGAGCAAAAATTGCCACAGTACAGTGCAGTTTGCAGCATGAAAGAGGGTTTCATTGCAGAACCTGATGTAAAGGGTAAAGATTTTGTAACCATTTGCAGTGTGCCTTGTGGCTTTGTGTGGATAAAATGTAAAAAATGTAAAGACAAGCTACAATGTGGCTCCCAGGGCTAGAAAATGTGAATTATGGAATTTTTAGAAATTTCTAGAAATATGTCCTTGGCAGGTTGTAGGAAAGGGGGAGACATGATAACTATTGGTCATCTCCTACCAAGGCAGGGTGACCCAAAGAAGAAAACACAATCACAGGATGCCATACAATAGATGAAGATTTTTTAAGCACCATCAATAGGGATAATTAAAGACCCCCAGTTGTTAACTGAGTAAATAGTAAGAGCCATGAGGATGCTAGGAAAATCTTCTTGAAGCAAGTAATAAGAACAGTGGAATTGAATCTAAGAAGAGATAGTTTGCACCCCAGCCACTGGAAAGAAGAAAAATACGATAAATATCAAAGACTATACAAGTACTTGCTCTTCTATAGCTTCAAAAACACGAACTACTTAATTTTCTAAGCCAAGCTCTTCCATACACATTGACTTTAGAGTTTTTCTACTAATTCCTTCATTGCTTTATTCCTCAAATCATTTCCTAGGTCACTATGTGGTGGTCTTTTTTTTTTTTATTAATAGCGTCGAGAACTTAACTCTTGTATGCCACCGGTTGCATCAGTAATCATTGAGTGGAGACACTTTCCTGTTTCTTCATCCAGCAACACTCCGGTGATTCTTTGCTCTCTTCTAACTTACAATTGTCCTTCTGTATCTGCTCCTTGTAGCATATCAGAAAATTTTATTCATTTTATGAGCACTATATGTATATTTGTTTAAAATACTGGCTGTCTCCCATGGAGATAGGGTGACCCAAAAAAAAAAAAAAATATATTTTACAATCATTCAATACTAGGTCTTCCCAGAGGCACAAAATAGACATTTTGTTTCCCCCCAAACTTCAAATACCCCCCATTTCCCTCTTTCAGAGTGCAGGACTGTAACCCCCAGGACTCGAGTCCTAAAATTAAACCAGTTACCTTACACTTTGTTGTATGTACTTCCTTTACTTTTCCACCCCCATTTTTCTCTGATTTTTCTGTAATTATTTTCCTTTTTTTGTTTTTAAAATTTTTAATTATAACTTTTTGTTTGAAATTATTAAGAGATTGAATTTTTAAAATCACTCTCGATTATCCTGCACCTCAACACTTCAAATGAATTTGTTTACATGATTTTCCCTCTTAAAGGGGGGCCCCTTTGGCGGGTGAAGAGGTTTGGTCTGAGGAATTGACCTGTGTCTATTTCCCTCGACCGAACCTAATTCCCCCCCAACCCCCCCGTTCCCTCCCCCATCCTCCCTTTTTTCCTTTTTCCTCCCCCCCCCACCCCCCCCCTTTTGCCCTCCTTTTTGGCCTTTGTTTTTTTTTTTTTTTTTTTTCCACGGCACGCTAGTTCCTGGGGTGGGGGAAAGGGTCCCGGGGGTCCATCCCTTCCTTTTGGGGTTCTTGGCAGTGGCGTGTTTGCCGGGGAAACTGGATTGCCGGGGGATCCCCTGATCCCTTTTTGTATCCCGGAGGGGTTTGGGGTGTCTCTGGGGAGGGTGTTCTTGGAAGCCCCCTTTCGGTGGGGGGTGGTGGCTGAAGGAGGATGCTTTGTGGCGGTTTTCCCGGCCGCCCTTCTTTTGTCCACCGAGGTAGTGGGCAGATGTGGGGTTGCTATCCCCGGATTCCGGGTGTACTGGCGATGGGTGGGTAGGGCCCGGGGTTTCCCATGCTGCATCTGCGCTACTTGGGTGGAGTCCCTTCGGCCGGAGGGAGATTTTTGGCCCTTTATTCCTCCTAGGAACTACCCTCCCAGTCCCCCCTTTTTTTTTTTTTTTTTTTTTTTTTTTTTTCTTAAAAAGCAAAAAGAAAGAAGTAACCTAACCATGGGAGCCCCATCCCTGAACCTGCTACCCCCGGCCCCTTTTGATATGACCCCTTCTGACCCCGCCCGTCTTGGACCACTCTTCGGACACTCCTCATGCCTCTGTACCTCTTGCCGGTTTCTGTTTCCTCACCCCCCTTAGGTACTGGGCCCGACTGATCCTTGATTTTTTGACCTTCGCTCTCCTCTGCTATGCTTGGCCCTCCCCCTAGGTGCGGCAAATTTTTTTTTGAATCGCCGGCCCCTTCCCCGTCGGGCCAACTCTGGGCCCCCGCCTAACGACAACGACAAATTTCCTTGATGATCTTCCCACCTCTCGTTCCTCAGAAAAGATCGACACTCCCTTTACTACCTTTCCCCCGCTCATTTCAGACTGCACAATGGGCAAATTCTTCACTTACGACCGACTTCCTCTACTGCCTATCTTTCTGACCCAGTATGGGAAGGGATCCCTTTCCCTGTTGGGGGAAAAATATTTTTTTTCTGTTCTTAGACGGTACCCCCAAAAGTCACCTACAGAATGCTACCCCCGGGTCATGAGCTTTTCCCCTCTTTCCCAATCGATACTGTTCCTGTAAAATATTGAAAAGCATCATTCCCTCAATTCTTGTAGTGGTACCGTCATTTCCCATACCATGTTAACAAAATTTCCAGACATGTGGCACTGACATTCTTGAACAGCGGGAAACTCAAATTTTCCCAATCCTAAGGTAGACACTTACGTTCTTCCTGCCCTTTTGGGGGCGGGAGAGACCCCCCTAGCAATGTGGTTCGTTTAATTTTTGACAGCCGTGAACTCCCACCTCATTTAGGGGGAAAGGACATCGGTTCACAAAGTGTAGAAATTGCTGGCGTTTTTTGGCCCCCAGCGAAATTTGTGATCTATGCCGAATGCCCAGTCTGTGGTGCGATGACCTTCAAATTTCGTTTTGAAATCAACCTCCCTCTTCCTTTAAATTGTATGAGACTACCCTTTACTTCGCCGTTGTCAATTCTACAAAAAAAAAAACAGCGGGAAATCGTTACCCAAAGAGCAGAAGGGTTTCCCCCTTATCCCATGGCATTTTTCTCATCCCCGCCTCCAAGGGGACTCCCTCGTGTTTCTTTTTCCCCTGTTTAAAAACTCCCCCCACTTTGGTATCCCACTTCTGCCCCCACCTCTGTGGTTACCTCCCCCAAGCCTCCTGTACAATTCTTTTGCTGCCCTGGGCTCAGGTCCCTATTTCAAGTCTCATCTGATCTTGTTTCTTGTGTTCTCTCTCACAAGCTCAGTAGCGACGAGATCTCGTATGACACCTCCTCCCAATGTCCCTCTATTTCTCAAAAGTCAAAAAAAAGGTCCGTTAACACCCCCCCCATCTTCCACCTCCTCATTTTCCCTTCCCTGTCTCTGTACCTGGTTCTCCCCCTCTCACTGGCTCTGTTACAAGTGTAGAGGTTCACCCCCTCCTTGTACTGTATTTTCCTCCCCCTTTCCCTCCCAAGTTTTTTCCTCTTCTGCCACCTCCCAGGTTTCTGCCTTTCTGTCCCTTCCACGCTTTTCCAGTTCCCTCCACCCTTTTCCCTCCCCCCTACCTTGGTACAGTCCATTACAGTTCCAATCTTTACTATCCTCCCCCTACCATTTCCAATATTGTCCCCCCTACAACGTCTTGAATTCTGAAACACTTGAAGCAATCTCTGAATATATTGCAGAGACCAAACCATCAATGACACTGATCCCCCCTCCACTCCTTCTCTCTCCTCTAAATCCATTGCGCAACTCCTTTCTTCACAGCGCACCGTTCCTTCGCTGCTTGAACGTTTTCCACTGCCTCCGCATGTGGACTTTTCTAACCCCTTTTAGTCCGTAGGAACCATTACCTGTGGATTTCAGGTATCTTTATCATTGCCAATCATGGCCTATTTACCGTGGAATATACGCGGCCCCAGGGGTAATCGGGGTGAGCTTCAGATGTTTACTCTCCCAGTTTTCCCTGTTGGTGTTTGCTTACAGGAACCAAAATTACACTCTGCTGTTATCTCTCCATCTCAGGCTATAATTTATTGTATTCTTCAGATCCTTTTCCTGATGGGCCCTTTTAATGAAAGTGCCTTCTTCTACCACTGATATTCCGTACCATCAGCTATTTGTTCGTACTTCGCTGCATTACACAGCAGCCCGTATCCACTTTCATAGGTGGTATACGCTCTGTTCTTTATATCTCTCCCCTCCTCGGGCATTATCTATTCCGGATATTGCCTTTCTTGTTTCGTCATTACCACCACCGATTCTGTTACTTGGTGATTTTTAATGCCCACCCATTTTCCTCTGGGGGGGGGGTCTCACTGTGATTCCCGTGGCAATTCAGTTAGAGGCTTTTCT